AATTGCGATCTCATAAAGCTCTGTCGTAACACAGTAAATATATGCACAATGAATCTTTCACAGTGTCTACACTTCGTGTGTTAAAATGAGAGGATTCGTGAGCACGCAATTTCAGCACTGCGGTAAGTAGATTCTAACTTAATCACCTTAATCACCTGATTGGTCATTGCGTTTCAGAAATCAACAGCAGAGTCTGTGATTGGCTACATTGCAACCCTTTAAACACGGTTTATAAATAGAAACTCTGCCTAGCTTGTGCATGTCAATCATTTAATGTTAATATTAGTTGTTCTTTTTACTTTTGTGCAACAGATAAATAACAATTTTTATGTTTTAGACACATTATGTTTAGCTAATTTCTATTTTGCGGGAGTCCCGCGAATCATTTTATTCTCCCGCATCCCACGCACAAACGAGTGTCTTCCCGCCCGCACCCATACTCGCCCGTTAAGAGTTGTCCCGCGCCGCACTCTGTTGCGTTGGGTCCTGCGGTACACCCACGGGAGTGCAGGTCTCTAGTGCCTGGCTACCCGAATGTCTCGCTGGCTCCTGCGGACCATCAGACTCGGCTATGCGATTCAGTTCGCCCGGCGTCTCCCCAAGTTCAGCAGCATCCGCTTCACATCAGTGAAGGCAGCCGATGCTCCTGTATTGCGTGTGGAGATCGTAGTCCTACTGGCGAAGGATGCGATAGAGCCAGTCCCTCCAGCCGATATGAAGACGGGGTTTACAGCTCCTACTTCATTGTACCCAAGAAAGGTGGTGGGTTATGACCGATCTTGGACCTGCGTGTCTTGAAACGGGCCCTTGACTGGTTACCATTCAAGATGTTGACACAGAAACGCATCTTCGGGTGCATCCGTCCCCAAGATTGGTTTGCAATGATCGACCTGAAGGATGCGTACTTTTACGTGTCGATCCTTCCGCACCACAGACCATTGCTGCGGTTCACATTTGAAGGACGAGCATATCAGTACAAGGTCCTGCCCTCTGGGCTGTCCCTGTCACCCAGTATCTTCACAAAAGTTGCGGAGGCAGCCCTCGTTCTCCTGAGAGAGCAGGGCATTCGCATTCTCAACTACCTCGACGACTGGCTTATACTAGCTCAGTCTCAGGATCAGTTGTGCGAACACAAGGACGTGGTGCTCTTGCACCTCAGCCGGTTGGGCCTTCGGGTCAACTGGCAAAAGAGCAAACTCTCCTCGATGCAGAGGATCTCGCAGAGGATCTCACGCCGCTGGGGCTGCTTCATATGAGACCACTTCAACACTGACTCCATGGCTTGAGTCCCGAGGTGGGCGTGGCTACGCGGCACTCGCCGGTTCCAAGTCACACCAGCCTGCCACCAAACTTCACCACTTGGTCAGACCTTACGTTTCTCCGGGCAGGAGTGCCCCTGGAACAAGTTTCCAGGCATGCTGTGGTTTACTCGGATGCCTCCACCACTGGCTAGGGGGCCACATACAATGGGCACGCAGTGTCGGGGGTTTGGACGGGCCCCCAACTGCACTGGTACATCAACCACCTAGAGTTGTTAGCAGTACGCCTTGCCTTGAACCATCTCAGAGGGTGTTTATGAGGCAACCATGTGCTGGTCCGCATGGACAACACTGCAACCGTTGCGTACATTAACTGACAAGGTGGTCTATGCTCCCGTCGCATGTCACAACTCGCCCACCACCTCCTCCTCTGGAGTCAGAAGCATGTCAGGTTGCTTCGTGTCATTTACATTCTGGGCCTGCACAACCGTGCAGCTGACGAGCTGTCACAAGCTGCGCTCCCCGGAGAGTGGAGACTCCATCCCCAGATGGTAAAAATTTAAAAAAAAAAATCCCCAGTGAGTCTTCTCGCACAGACGCTGTGCAAGGTCAGGGAGGACGAAGAGCAGGTCCTGCTTGTGGCGCCGTATTAGCCCACTCGGACCTGGTTCCCAGAACTAATGCTCCTCATGACAGCCCCTCCCTGGCAGATTCCTCTGAGGAAGGATCTACTGACTGCCCCCTGTGGCACCCGCGTCGAGACCTCTGGAAACTTCATGTCTGGTCCCTGGATGGGACGCGGAGGTTCTAGGTGACCTACACCAGGAGGTAGTTGACACCATCACTTCGGCAAGAACACTGTCTACGAGACATGCTTGCGCCTTGAAGTGGAACCTGTTCGTCGAGTGGTGTTCTTCTCGCCGCGAAGACCCCCAGAGATACCCAATCAGGTTTGTGCTTTTCTTTTTGCAGCAAGGGTTGGAGCGAAGGCTGTCTCCCTCCTCCCTTAAAGTCTATGTCGCTGCAATTGCTGCTAACCATGACCCTGTGGAAGGGAAATCGGTAGGGAAGCATGACCTGGTCATCAGGTTATTAGGGGGGCGAGAAGGTTAAATCTTCCCCAGCCCCCCTCTATACCCTCTTGGGACCTGTCTCTAGTTCTCAAAGCACTACAGCAGGGCCCATTTGGGCCTTTGTAGTCAGTTGAGCTGAAGTTTCTATCAATGAAAACTCTGCTCCTGCTTGCACTGGCCTCCATCAAGAGGGTAGGGGACCTGCATGCATTTTCGGTCGATGATTCGTGCCTAGAGTTTGGGCCGGCTGACTCCCAGGTAATCCTGAGGCCCCGGCCCAGCTATGTGCCCAAGGTTCCTACTCCCCCCTTCAGTGATCAGGTAGTGAACCTGCAAGCGCTGCCCCCGGAGGAGGCAGACCCAGCCCTAGCTTTGCTTTGTCCCGTCCGAGCCTTGAGATGGTAGGTAGACCGGACACCAAGCTTTAGGACTTCAGACCAGCTCTTGTCTGTTATGGAGGCCGGCAGAAGGGGAAGGCCGTCTCTAAGCAGAGGATGGCCCACTGTGTAGTGGATGCCATCACCCTGTCACCGACGTGACGTTGTGACCGACATGACGTGATGTGCAATCATCGCATGCCAATGTGCATTGGCTCGTTTAGTTTACACTCGAAGTGGGTTGGGCTCTCTAAGCAAGATCCCATATGTGTAAAGTCCACAGTATAGCCTCAGAGCCAGAGTTTCCCCGGCAGACTTCTGCCATTTCCAAGAGGGTTATAATCACCTCTTATCTTCCATATGCACATAAACGGTTGTTCATATGTGTAAGTGCTTCCGAAACCTCCTTCGGGAAGGATGGGGCTTCCGCAACCTGTTCCAAGTGGTACGGGTACGTTTTCCCAGTGTTATCCAATCTCACTGAATGGGTAGTGCTACGACAGCAGTGACTGGTCTTCTTGTTGTGAGCACCAAAAAGGTGGCTCGCACAGGACACTAGAAGGGGCAGCATCCATGGCACTTTGGTAGGGATCCCAATTCGTCGTCACCGACGTGACGTTGTGACCGACATGACGTGATGTGCCACTAAATGGTTTAGCTCCTGTATATTTAATGATCTTCTTATGCCCTATAGTCCATCACGCTCTTTAAGATCACAAATCTCTGGACTTTTAGTAGTACCTAGGATATCTAAGTCCACTAAAGGAGAGAAATAATTTTCCCATCTGGCTTCTAAACCCTGGAATAGTCTTCCTGATAATGTCCGGGGCTCAAACACACTCTCTCTGTTTAAATCTAGATTAAAGACACACCTCTTCAGCATTCCCATAATGAATCTCAATCTCACCCTTGTTCCCAGTTAGATCAGATAAAAGTCACAAATATATTTTTTGCTTGAAATTTTATGAACAGCAGCTGCGCTAATTATTTTCTATCTGCCTTTCTGTTCCTACCCCGGAATGCCCATCTCGAGGTATCTAGAGATTACACCAGCTCCAGCGTGGATCCAGCCTCATAGAAAGACTTCAGATGACCCAAGACCTGTGAAGAGATGATGCTGAACCTTGCGTGGCCCCCAGATAACGCCAACTTGAATCAACATGCACAGCTGCCAAAATGTATCTATATTGTAATCATTATGATCACACTTGTAATAATCACTTTAATGAGCTTCTGCCTAAAATTAATTCATGTTAGCTAACTGTATTATCTATTATCTTGAACTGTTCATTTGTGAAATGAACATTACTTGGACACATTCACTTCTGCTTTGTAATGTAGACACATGCATTTACTGTAAAGCTGCTTTGAAACAATATGTATTGTGAAAAGCGCTATGCAAATAAATTTGAATTGAATTTAATGGAATATCTAAGATCAGCCAAGAGACACAACCTCCGACAAGCAAGATGGATTTTTTCTTCACAAGATTCAATTTCACTGTTACCTATCAACCTGGTTAAAAGAATACCAAATCAGACACACTTTCACAGCAATTTGATACAGATCCAGTTTCTCAAGTACCAGAGAACATCATCCCATCTTCACTCATTGGGCCTCATTCATGAAACATTTGTAAATATAGGAATAAATTCTGAGTAATTTGAGCGTAAAACGGACCTTCCAGAAAACTCTCCTCCGGATTCACAAACGCTTCGTAAACATCAGATTTGATAGTTAAACGTGTATGTTAATGAATTCCAATCTTTCGTAAATGGGGCACACGTGCATGCTCATTCACAATTAGCATAATCCCTGCCTATGAATTCCGACTGACAAATATATATGGGCATCATATTATGAAACGAAAATAAGGATTTCAACATGTCCTCTCAAAACCAAATGAAAAAGAATTTCTCAGACGCAGAAATTTAAGTTAATATCGAAAGTGCATTCAAAACGCAACATTTCATTTTCAAGCGTACATACTGGAGTATTGGCAGCACATTACAGATGCTGTTAATGCAGTTTCATCTGTTAATGAAGTCACACTGTTAACAGTCCCGGAAGTTAAAAGGAAATGGTTCGACATGAAGCTTGACTGCAAAAAACGCATTACTTCATTTTGACAAAATCGTATACAAACAGGAGGACCACCATCATCATCGAGCGTATCTGCATGCGATGAACGCATCATCAGCATAATTGGTGAACCCTCTCTGTCGGGTATAATTCCCAAGGGTGACAGTGATGAACCCCCCCTTGCAGGAAAACACTTTGCCACGATCACATGGTAAGGCTACAGTTTTATTAAATAATTTAGGTCAATTTTAAAGTGTTAAAACTAAGAGATATAATAATTTTAGAGGAAATGCACATTTGAGCTGATTTTTTTTTTTATTATTCTTTGTAAAGACAGACAAATGCCAACTGTGTCCGCCCATGAGGCCACTGAAGCGGCAACCAGACCCATTCATCCTAGGGCACCTGGACCGGCAGTATATTCCGCACCATCCCGCGCAGTGTTGGCTCTGCACAGACGGTTTTAAGTCAAGAAGTGCTGGATAAGCAAGAAATAACATGTTAAAAGAAATAAATGCAAGCATACGAGAAATATGTGACGCACTTAAACATAAAAAATAAAGTTTACAGAAACTATTTTGTGTGCTTGTTTTTAATCGCATACATGCACTCTTAGAAATGTTGAATTAGCTTTGCAACTGCAGCCACAGGTATGACCATGTTTCTGATAGGCGACCTTGGAGGCACCATACCATGCTCAGTTCTAAGTATATCCTCTGGGTCTGGCAGACCATGTTCCATAGCAATGTTGTGTAGAACGCAGCAGGCCAGTATTATTTGGCAAACTTTTTCTGGTCTGTATAATAGTGTACCACCTGATGTGTCCAAACACCGCCAGCGTCCCTTTAAGATCCCGTTTGTGCGTTCAATAACTGACCGAGTTTTTCAGTGTGCTTCATTGTATACCAGCTCCTGCCGGCTTTGGGGATTTATCAAAGGGGTCATAAGCCATGGTGTCAGGGGATAACCTCTGTCACCTAAGTGTGAGGGGGGAGGGAAAAATTCAAATAGGCCAACAGTTATTTTTTAAAACAGAGTTTACATACCAATTAGCCATCCGTCTTCAACTGCACCACTGTCCAAACGTCTGCCAACTGAGCTGCTCCGAAGGATGAAACTATCATGAGTTCTGTCAGGACCACTATCGTCAAAGATGATTGACAATTAGCATACAGTTTGGATTGGCGGTATGGTTCCGTTCTGGGCAAGAACTCCCTGCGCATCCATGCAGCCTAGCATGGATGAGAGCAAGGAGAGCAGCAATAACCCCCCAGGGTAAACAGAACAGAACTAACATAAATGTATTGCAGATATTGTTAAAGTTCAATAATGTTATGTACACATTTTAGAATTAGTCTGATTCAAAGGAGAATCAGAAGGCTGAATCCTGACTGAAAGAGGAGGAGTTGGGGATGGAGTAGGGTAATTAGCTATTGAGCAGTGCGAAAACTGATGATAATACTGAGGGACCTTATATATGAATACTTTAGATAGGTGTCGTATTCCCATAGGTTGATGGGGATCAGCTGAGAGTCAGCTGATGCGAGCTTGACTAACGTGACCTGCCAGAACTAACGCTACGCTTGATTTCCACCTGGCCAGGGGGCCACAACATTAAATATTGCACATTTAGCATCACTAATTAGTTGCACATTGATGGAATGATAGTTTTTCCTATTCAGAAATGCAAATGCATCATTTGATGGCGCCTTGATGCGAATGTGTGTGCAGTCAATTGCCCCGATGACGTTTGGCAGGTTTGTAATTGCAAAGAACCTCTGCTTCACTTCCAACTGATGGACTAGGTTATAGGGGAATTTTATATATTGAGGCAGTAGCCGTATTAGGCCATCAAGAGCATCTGGAATGATGCGACTCATGGATGACTGAGATATCCCTCACCTGTCTGCAATCTCCTGCTGGAATGTTCCTGTTGCCAAAAAAAACAAGCACGGACAGCACCTGTAAGTGTGCAGGAATGCTGTGGGATCTTCTGGTTTCCCTTCTGAGTTTGGCCTCCAATATACTGCATAAATACAAAATAAGTGGTCTGGGTAGTCTGAAACGACTAATCAACCAGTCATCATTCTCTGCAAGTAAGTCTGCACGGTCTCTAAAAATACATCTTTTATGCAGCTCTCTGTCTGCCAAATCTAGCAATAGCGCTATATCAGCCATAGGAAATGTTTACTGTTATGCCTGATTCTGGCCATTTTATAGAAAACCATTTCCGTAATAATTGTCTTTATTAATTGGTCTAATTGGTACATCCCTAACAGAAGTAATTAATTATTTGATTAGGCTAAAGTGTTAAGTTTGCAGATTGCAGATTCTATTAGCCTACTGGTGTTCATAATAATAGTAAAAACAAAAACACAACATACTGTATATAATTACTGTATATGTTATTAAAATGCTGCGTGATCCATACGTGATTATGTAAGGTAAATAGTTTTATTAAAATGTAGCACCATCAATGAGCAAAACATTTGGATGTTTTACACACCATTTACGTGGGGCTGGGAGCAGGTGTACATTTTTTGTGTACAAACTAACATTTGGAAAACATGAACACTTTTATGAATCCGAAAATTTACGTCAGAAGAGCTTTACGAACGATTTACATAAAAATTTGTTCTGCTCATGTTTCATGAATGAGGCCCATTGTGTCGCCTATCCAATGGGATATCATCACCGAGATTGAGCAGGATAATACAGATCTTGAAATTCCACAGGAATGTCCCGTTTCGTCCCGTAATGTTGTGAAAGGTTTTTTTTTCTCTTTCTATCTGCTTTGTTGTGACTGTTACCACTTTTAGATCCTGTAATTGGACGTCAGCCCGGTCGATCTTCCCTGTCAACGTGATGACAACACCCATCTGGGAACCAATCAGGCACGCTCAGTCTACTATAATGACTCGGAAATGACGCAAGACATGAGAGCGCATTTTTCCTTTGCTGATAGCTCTAGCTTGTTTGTCACACTGTCCATCCTTTTTGAGTTTATGCTGCAATTATGATTTGTTAGTTTACCTTGAGTTATTTCTGATCGCTCCCTTTTCTCTACATGTTGTATTTGCTCAACTCTGATTTGACTCTGGCTATTTGCCCGATTGTGCTGTGATTTGATTCCCACTCGCTCTTCAAGAGTTGATGGTTGGAATTATCTCTTGACTCATAGTGTTGCAACCAGATTAGAATGTCACGTGACCTACACAAAGCAACATGTAGAATATCACTTGTATAAGAACACTAAGGTAGGAGCGGGAGCCAATGTTTGTATTTATGTTTTGTTAGTGAGCGTAGTTAGTTGGCGTTTAGACTGAAGATTTGTTTTTGTTTTCTTTTTCTTTGTTTAGATTAGCATTGAATTGATTGAAGTTAGTATGTGTTTTGTTTTATTAATTTCTTTGCTTTCAGCTCCGCTCACGTCTCACACTGTTGAGTTTTCTTTTCAATGTTGTATATAATTTGTAAATATCATCTTCCTTACTCTTTGACATTCCCATTGTCGGTGTAAATATGGAAAGCAATCTAGTGTTTGTTTCGATGGACCTCATTAAAGATTTTCCGATAAGCGTTTTCGGTTTCTGTTTGATTCCTTACACCACACATATCATTCCTTTAGTAACAGATAGCCTCCCTGATTCTGAAAACATCTTTAATTTTTCTTTATTAATTTATTCTTTGTGTTGACTTCCTTATTCCCTAGACACTAATAATAATAGCAACATCAGCCAAATAGGAAGTTGTAATACCCCCAGATAAACTATTCATCCTGTGGAGACTCTCAGAGAAAGAACCATCAATCAAGTTCTTTCTTCACTCAGTTCAGGCCATCCAGGTATTAACACCACCATACAACTCCTCCAGAACCGCTTTTGGTGGCCATCCTTAAGTAAAGATACTATAATTTTGATACGCCAGTGCCAGACATGCAACATTCACAAGCCATCCTGACAACTACCAGCAGGGCTCCTCCAACCTCTGCCCATTCCTCAATGTCACCTCATCACATATTGCTGTTGATTTCATCACTGACTTACCCAACTCCAACGGCCATACCACCATCCTCACTGTCGGTTACCACTTCTCGAAGGCCTGTCATCTTATCCCCTTGTCCAAACTACCTACAGCTCTAGAGACTGCCCAACAAGTAATGTAATATGGTTTTCCGATTCTATGGAATTCTTGAGGACATTGTATCTGACCGAAGCCCTCAATTTACATCCAGACTGTGGTCAGCCTTCTTCAAAGCCTTTGACATCAATGTAAGCCTCACATCTGACTATCACCTTCAATCTAATGCTCAAGTTGAGAGACTCAACCAAGAACTTACCTGCTTCCTGAGATCCTGTTGTAGTCAAAACCAAAATGACTGGAGTCGTTACCTCATGTGGGCTGAATACACTCAAAATTCTCTCCACAAACCTTCCACTGGTCTGACCACATTTCAATGTATCGTGGGATACCAACCTACTTTATTTCCCTGGTCAGGGGAACCCTCTGATGTGTCTGTGGTCAGTGATTGGATTCAGAGAAGCGAGGAGAATTGGAACCAGGCCCATCACCACTTACAACATGCCATACGACAACAGAAGGACCAAGCTGACCGCCATCCCCGCCCCAGCCCTGAATATAGTCCCGACCAATCGGTATGGTTATCCACCCACGACCGTCGGCTCCAGTTACCTTGCAATAAGCTCAGTCCCAGGTATGTGGGTCCTTTCCAGATAATTAGACAAATCACCCTGGTTTCCTATGAACTAGCATTACCTAACCATTACTGTGTTTCTCCCACTTTTCATGTCTCCCTGTTGAAGCCCGCTGTTGGTCCCAGAGTGGCAGCAGAGGAGGTGCCCAATGACCAGGTTCCCCTACCCATCATGGTGGAGGGCGAGGAGGCCTATCAGGTGCGAGAGCTGCTCGACTCCAGATGCCGGGGAAGAGTACTCCAATATCTTGTTGACTGGGAGGGGTATGGTCTGGAGGAACAGTCTTGGGTGAATACTGACCTGCACACACCTGAAGCTCATTGACCTGGACTATATAAACAACACACACACTATCATTCATTGCAAAGTCTTGTTTTGCCCCAGTGAACATTACTGAGCATTATTTCCTGTTTTCTGACTGCCTTCTGTTGTGACTATTTGTTTACCATCTCTGAACCATTGCTGTCTGCCCTTGGACTCTTGCTTCATTGCCTGGTATTGTGATTGTTTAGCTGCCTGCTCTGACCATTGCTTGTCTCTGTTTAATGTCTGTTTGCTGCTTACCCCGACCTTACTCCTGTTCACCGATTACAATTATGTCTGCCCCGATATATTGCCTTGCTTGTGCTTTTACCACTGCCTGTACGACCACGATTCAAATAAAGCTGCAGATGGATCCCAACCGCAGTGATGCCTTGTTACAGTGGCTACCTAGGGCTTCTCTTCTATATACTTAATTTTAGGCAGTTTTTAAAGGGTTTTTAATTACAAATGTCTTAATGACAAATGTCGAGATCACAGTATTATAACATGATTTCCTTCGCTCTCACACAAAACTGGATGTGCACTTTTAAATAGACAGTGTTCTCTTATTAATTGGCTCTGCTCTTGCTCACATGAATCCTGCATAAATATGCGGATGTCATTTCCGAAACTTTGCAACGTGTGTGTGGCCGAAAAACAAAAGTTCTGCATTTTGAATGGATTATAGCCTAGTAGAAGAGATAAAGAGAAAGTGTGTTCATCCTGTGAGGGAGACTTACTGCTGAGGCACTGAAGAAGAATGACTAAAGAAAAGACAGAAAAGAGTCTGGTTTCCATAACCCAGAAAACAGTAAGAGGCAATAAAGCTTTAATTGCAAACAAGCATGTTAGCCTGTTGCTATAAATAAGGTTTGTTGGATATTGCTTTCTTTTACTCAGATCACTGGAAAAATATGGTTTACAAGCTACTTATGAATTGACTGGTGCTCATGTTGGCATAAAATATGCAAGCTGCTTAAAGAGAAATTGTTTACAACTGTTAAGTATTGACATCACTGATATTTTACTAAACATGTAGATCCATAAAATAAGGTGAATGGTTGAAATTTTAGCTATCCAATTTACTATTTAAAATGGTTTGGCTGCCTTGGTTAACTTATTAAAGTTGTTAAGTAAACTATATGTTACTAAATGAAAGTACAGTAGCTAAGTACATTGAAGCTATCTAAATATATGCATTTGGCAACATCAACTATGCAAAATTTTTTTTTTTTACAGATGAATGAGACAGCAAGACTCACAAAAAGGAGGGCTTCTGAACAGATTCATTTAAAACAGGTGTGTGCACTGGACTTAGTGCTGATTAGAAGAGTACTCACTGAGCTTGCCAAATGTTACACAGATTTGAATAATATTTTAGTCTTAATTGTTGAATACACTTTGGAATGATACCTTGCCGTTTAGAAGCAAGTTGGGTATTGTTTGAAGATCCAACAGCTCGGAAGTGTCACTGTTGGAAAGCTGAGGTAAGCAGATAATAATGTAAGCATGCCTCCATGCCAGAAATATCAGATCCAGCCACGGATGCCAGAACCTATCAGAAAATGTCTTTGCCAGAGTGTTTTGTCTGGTAACAGAACAACTAGTCAGCAAAATTGTCTAATACCCAACAGCTCCCTTTATAATCACTAAAAAGCTGTCACTCTTTTTTCATTGTGATTTCACAAAGTTCTGTTATGACCAATTAATCTCTTTACACTGCGCAATCAATCTATTACTTACATTGTGTATACACTCTGTATGTTATAATGAGAGAATTCGACTGTATAACTAAGCACGGAACAAAAACTGGTGTGTGTTGTAGCCTTTAGGTACGAGACAAAACCAGCATGAACTGTCACGAAGATGATGAAAGTGTTTTCGTTTGAGTAAAGCTTTTAAGTCCCTTTAAGTGTTTTTGTTCATTGAATATGTACAATTTATCTTGTGATAACATCTAATATATTTGATTTTATTCAACCCAAAAATATTAACCTATTCAACCTATATTAGGTTACAGTGATGAAATGGAATTTAAGGGTTAGATCAGGTAGAAATAGCTCCCTAAGATAAGATTTGCTGGTTTGCACTTCTTAATAGCGTACCATAGTCTGGTAACAGAACAACTAGTCAGCAAAATTGTCTAATACCC